CTGCTGAATCTTTTTGAGCTTTCCAGGGCAGACAGAGGTGCCCCTTGCCCTCAACCTCCCTGCTTTGATTTTCCAGTACGAGATAAGAAATGGACCGAGCTGGACAAGAACCAGCACCGCACTCACGCCATGCGGCTTCTCGACGGGCTGGAGGTCACCGCGCGGGAGAAGAGGCTGAAGGTTGCCCGAGCCATCCTTTACGTTGCCCAAGGTGACACCAGACTTAGTTTCCCCATCACTAAATCCAGCTAACAGATTGGAGGCTATCAATATAAAATAATTAAAATCATTTTGTTTCTTTATATCTTTGATTTCACCTGGGATATCTGGAGTGAAGCTAATTCTTGTGGCAACCAGTTTATAGGAGTTTGGACCAAAATTTGGCTGACTTCCCTGTGCTGCCCCAGCTCTGGGATACACACAGCAAACCAGTTCCATCCTCTGCATCTGACTTTTTGCCTGAAAATTAAAACTGTGTTTTTCATTCCCCCCTGCAAAGTGCTTTGGTGCTGTGGGAGGGTCTCAGGATCCCTGTGGAGATGGGATCCAGCGAGGATATCGTTGCAGGCACGTTTGGGGAGTGCAGCTCCGAGGCAGAGGTGCAGGCATGGATGAGATACAACATCTTCCTCTTGCTGGAAGTGGGGACGTTCAACGCTTTGGTGGAGCTGCTCAACATGGAGATTGAGTGAGTACTGGAGGAGAACGCGTCAGGAATGGTTCTGGAGCTCCTTGGGAGGATTTTTTTCTAGTCTGTGGCAATCCCATTCCTGGTCTGCCTATCCCTAGTCTGATTTCTGCAGCCACTGCAATGACTCCTGTTGCTTTGGGTGGATGTGTAACGTGGGGTTCTACCTGATTTATGCAGAAATTCACTAGGAGCCACGCTGGTGGCAAACAGAGACAATCTGTTCCTCCTCCCTCGATTGCACTGTGAACAGGGGACTCGTTGCAGCAATATCTATTCCAGGGTTTGGCTCTGGCATGTGGGTTATTCGTGACTGAGTTAAAATGTCTCCAAAGGCTCCTCTGAGGTTGTTTTTCCTCTGCAGTAACAGTGCAGCTTGCAGCAGTGCCGTGAGAAAACCAGCCATCTCCCTGGCTGACAGCACGGACCTGAGGTACGCAGCAGGGCTTGGGAGGAGGGGGTGTTCCCCGGGGTGAGGGGGGACCCAGTGCTTGCTGGTTCCTTTGGCACTGGAGAGCGTCTGTTCTGGTTTTACTGGGACAGAGCTAATTTTCTTCTTAGTAGCTGGAATAGAGCTGTGTTTTGGTTTCAGTGTGGGATTCGTTATGAGATGAATGTTGATAATATACTGATGATGTTTTCAGTTGTTGCTGGAAGACAAAGGACTTTCCAGCCTCTCTGTGTTGTGCTGATTTGCAGGTGCAAGGTCTAGGGAGAGGGAGAATATTAAAATTAACAAATCCAAATTGGCATTTGGGTGTCCCAGTGGGATATTCTATATCATAGGGCCACAAAGATGATGAGGGGCCTGGAGCATCTCCCGTGTGAGGAGAGGCTGAGAGAGCTGGGACTGTTCAGCCTGGAGAAGAGCAGCCTGAGAGGGGATCTGATCAATGTCTATAAAGATCTGAAATGTGGGGGCCAAATGGATGGGGCTGGGCTCTTCTCGGTGGTGCCCAGTGACAGGACAAGGGGCAATGGGCACAAACTGGGACACCAGAAGTTCCAGACAAACTGAAGGAAAAACTTCTTCACTGTGAGGGTGCCAGAGCCCTGGGACAGGCTGCCCAGAGAGGGTGTGGAGTCTCCATCTCTGGAGATGTTCAAACCCACTTTTTCTAGTGGAAGGTGTCCCTGCTGATGGCAGGGGGGTTGGGACTGGATGAGCTTTAAGGTCCCTCCCAACCCCCACCAGTCTGGGATTCTGTGATCATTGTCTCTGCTCTGGGATGGCTGGCAGGGGACAGGGTGGGCACCGCTCAGCGGGTGGTGAGCAACTGCACTGTGCATCACTCATTTGAATATTCCATTATTATTGTTACTATAATTATTATTCTTTTAATTTCCATTTTATTTCAATTATTATTTTTTTTATCTCAATACACAAATTTTCTCATTTTAACCCTTCTGATTCTCTCCCTCATCCCACTGAGGGAGGGTGAGCGAGCAGCTCTTTGGTGTTTGGCTGCTGGTCAGGCCAAACCTACCCCAGTGTCCCTGGGTTGTCCCAGCTTTTGCCCTGGCTCCATGAGCATCATCAGGTGTGCTCAGGTCTGCTCAGTCCACAGACACCCCTTATGCTCAACCTGCACAGCAACAGCTCAACATATGGCTGGGTGGGGACATAAAATATGGGAAAGGAGGTTTTTTTTCCATGCTTTGACTTGCAGAGACCTTTTTCCCCAGTGCCTGAGTGCTGATCTCCTGGTGTGGAGTGGGTGCATGGACACTGGCTGTGGTCTGGGCTGATCCAGCCTCCCCCCACATCCCTGGGGTGCTGGTGGTGCCTCCATAACTCTGATAATTCACCCAACCTTCTGCTTTTTGTAGGGTGCTGCTGAACATCATGTACCTGATCGTGGAGACTGTTCGGCAGGAGGCTGAGGGAGACAAACCCGAGTGGAAGAGCATGAGACAAACCTTCCGAGCAGAACTGGGTGAGGACCAGGTGCTTGGGGGATGATGGGATGGAGGTTTCCAGGGCTGAAGAGCAAGAGAGTGAGATGGGGTTTGGCTCTAGGCCTTGGTTAATAGGGACTGGCAGTGCTGGGTTGGTTTCTGCTTGACTGAACCTTGCTGGTGAGGCAAAGGGAGATGAGCAGAGGAAACCAGACAACCTTTTCTGCTGTCTGGGTGCTCTGTCTCCCTGGGAAAAAAAAAATGAATATTGGGAGTGTCGTTTTGTCTCAACACAAGGTAAGAAGTAAGAAATTATGAGGTAAGAAATTAAGAGATAAAAATTTCTCAAGAGTTCAGAAATGATGAAGGTTACAAGGCCTTGGGAAGGAAGAGAGGGGCTGTCTGGGGTGAGATGAGGATCTTGGAGATGGGGAGCGCCAGACTGCAGAGGCCATGTGAGGGTTCAGGGGCTGGTGGTGCTGGGTGGGGGGACAGGGATGAGGAACACCCGACTATTGCTGCATTGTGGTTCCAGGAGCCCCCCTGTACAACAACGAGCCCTTCTCTGTCATGCTCTTTGGGATGGTGACCAAATTCTGCAGCGGCCACGCTCCACATTTCCCCATGAAGAAGGTGTTGCTATTGCTCTGGAAGACTGTGCTGGTAAGGAGAGGCTGTGGGGTGTGCTGACACAGAATCCCAGACTGGTGGGGTTGGAA